CTTTCTATTACAACTCACGTAAAAGAGATTCAGAGTAGCTACTGATACCTACAACCATCGGAAAATTTCATAGAAAATATATGGAACCATACTTTTTCCTTGAAGCTCATAGATGGTTCGGTAAGAAAAATATGAAACTGTGCCAGTCTACGAAATCTTGGAACGTTTTCTCGAAAAGCTCTAGAAGTTTTTATTGCACCATCGAGATGTAGAAGGTTCTGCAAAAGAATTATGAAACGCTTTTTAAAGAGTGGAACTATCGAAGATTTAGTATAAATCGCACGAACATATTTCTTCTTAAGTCGAGTCATACAGAATCACATAAGAGAACTAGTAAGTTTTTGCTTTTTTTTCTGAGCTTACAAAATATTTTTCACGAATGACATCAAGCTTCTCGAGTTCTATCAAAACTAAAAACAGTTAGGCACTTGAAGGACGAAAAGTGGCCTTCCATTTACGGAGTCTAAATCAGTTTTATAAGGAAATGCGAACCCTTTAAGTTGTGGGAACATACTAGCTTTTTAGGATGGATGGTGAACTTTTCAAACAAATAAGTGCCTAATAAGATGTTGCAACAAAAATTTAGCTGTATGTCAGCTGCTATACTGGCTGATAATATGAATTAATATTATGTGCAAAGTCGTGCATAGGAGTTTTTCGCATCCTAATTGTGAAGTTATGTTCTTTTTGTCGCATTCGACTGTTACAGTTTGATGAGAAACGCTGCGAACAAAGGCTGTAATACGAAGATGATAGTTTCTGACAGCTATTCAATCGTTGAGTATTATAACATCATGTTTTAGATTGTACATTATGGCTCTGAAGATCCCGATATATTTTAGAGTTTTATTGATTTCGATTCTCATCTTCATTTTTGTTGCTGAAGTATACAGAATCCATCATTTTTATTTGAGTTCGTTACAATTTACTGTCAAACATGTAGCGAATACTCTTGATTATCGAATACCTTCTGCTCATATAAAAAAATGGCGACAAATGGATAACACTACTGAAGAAGAAAAACGTCTAATGTATATGGCAGCGATGGTTGCTTCCTGGCAGAACAACGCTGCAGATAATGTTCCGACAGTGCCGTGTCTATCAGCAGATAAACATTTACTTGTGCTTACAGCTGCTGCAAGTCGGGTGCGTTATGGTATAAGTGTAACCTTTATTATGGTTTTGGCAGCTGACGTCAAGGCCGTTCTGCCGAAAAATATTTTAGCAGATCCAATATCTCCGACTGAACTAAATCTATGGTGTATCTTTGATGATGGATCAGTGACACCTGCCTATAGTTATGACTCGAAATATGGTGATGAACGAGTCTCTCTAGTCGACTGTCCACTCAGTTCGTTTGCAACCAATCAACTGTGGATACGCAATCAAAGATTACGTGTGTACGTTGCTTCGTTGTCAGAAAAGACTCAAAATATGCCGATTCTAAAAGCATTCGTTAGTGTTCCTAAAAAGATATCAAAATCATCCCTGGTTGATCAATATCAGCTTACACTCTGTACGTCACCGCTCCACAATAAAGATGATTTTTTGGTTCAATGGATCGAATTTCATCGATTGGTCGGTTTTCGCAAGTTTGCCATTTATAATACAACGGATAGAACTGGACGCCTATCAACTTTAATCGACTTGTATGCAAAAAAATATCCGACTCTTGTCGATGTTGTTCAATGGAACTTCTCGCCACTTTCCCTGAAGGACACTCGGCCACAACGATACTTTCAAACAGCAGCCCTTCACGATTGTCTAATCCGTTATGGCGACGAATCCGAATGGCTGGGTATGATTGATCTTGATGAGTACATCATACCACTGTCTCCCTATGAAACCATCCATAACTATCTAATTAAAAACTTTCATCATATTATCATGGGATCAATCAATTTACGAAGTCTGTTTTATTGTACTAAAGTCGAAAAAAAGTACATACCGGAAGAGCAAAATAGAACTCGTCTTGTGATTGAAAGATTCACGCTACGAGCACCAAACCGTCATAAAGGTGGCCGTGAAAAGTACCTCTATCGACCTCGATTTGTTCAATACTTATCCATTCATAATCAAATCGTAGGACTACCAAAAGTAGAACCTTTGGAAAAAGACATTGTTCTAGCTCATTTTGTGTCTATGGAACGTATTCGTTCATTTCCTAGCTGTAGTGTTCAACAATACGTGAATGATACTAGTATTCGTGATCGATTCGCTAAAAGAGTTCAAGATGCAGTAAGATCTTTGTATGCATAGAGCGTTTCTCTATGGTCTCTAAATAACAACTTGATGTCTTGTAGTTTGATTATTTAAATAGAATAATCAGAATACTTAATTAAAAACATGATGGCAAGTTACTGGTACACAACATTGATACTCCTCTAATAATGTGTGTCACATATTGGTGGATTTTTTACGAAGATTTTGTGAGTGTGTGTGTGTGTGAGCGTGGGTGAGGGTGTGGGTGTGGGTGTGGGTGTGGGTCTACGACAATAGAAGAGTAAAGACATACCCCACACCAACATCCACATCCACATCCACACCCTTTCTCAAGGAATGAACAAGACTGAGATTTGAGGGAAGTGACGTAGCTACGAGGGTATGGGTTTGCCGCTTCTATTTCGTGACCATTCGACATGAATATGAAGATTTTTTACTAGAATTCTGATTTAACTTTCTCTTACGATGATTCTAGTTAAAAAGCAGTCCTTTCACCGTTCAAAAGGAATATTTCAATGAAACACATTTATCAAATGACTGTATGTCATCCTACCACATCGCACCTATGAATAAACATGTTCTGTTTCTGTTCTCTTGTCCTTTTCAAGATTCCAGGTAACCTTACACAATAATATTCATTTTTTGCAACTCGTAAAGAAAAAAGTCAGTTTGATGTATGCAGAACGAGTGCTTTTTTTGTGGAGACCTTAGTCATAAAGCACACGAAAGAAGAATAGAACATAGTGACAACGACGACACACATATTTTCTTTTTTGTTTTATTTAGCATGTGACACACACAGTATAAAAAGTGTCGCATAGATCATAAAAGAGGAATTGGATATTGAAACGAATAAAACATCTTCATTTATCAAATGTGGAACATTCGCCCGATGGCAAGTGAAAATGATCGTAGTTTCGAAAGGACTGAAAATATAAATTATGTACTACAGCCTAATCCTACATTTTTCCCCAAACAAACTTGTCTTCTAGTACTCGACTTGGAAACCGTTTGGAAACAAGGTACTAAAGACTTGACTGACAGATCTGGCCACTACATCATTGAATTCGCTGTTCAAAATCTATCTGGAAGTTTTTCTTTTCGTTCCGCCGTTAAGCCCCAATCAACGACTGTTTTAGAGGGTTTTCCTACCAACATGCGACCCGAACTTTGCAATGAGGTAAACAACCGTCATACTCCAACTTTTCAAGAGGTTTGGCAACAGTTTCTTGATCAAGTCTGTCAACAATATGAAAACCAGGATATAATTTTAGTGGCACACAACGGCTTTAAACATGACTTTTCTATTATACGTAAAGAATTACAATATAATTCTTTGGCCATTATCAATCTTTTGAATTGGATGATTGCAGACAGCATCGAATTATTTTCCTCTTATTATCCGAACCAGGATTCGTACAAATTATCCTCCTTATTCAAACAGATTACGGGAGAGGATATGGAAAAAAGGCATACTGCTTCTGGTGATGCCAAAGGTCTTGGTATTCTTCTGACATTTCTGATGGGAAGAATCGCGAAAGATCATGATCACTTCATTGATATTATTAGGAAATTCTCAAGGCCTTTCTTTACCAATCAGTCTTTCTCTACATCCTTCGTTAACAGCTTACAACCCTCGCAACGTACCGCTTCACAGCGAAGATCATCGCTAACTCGATACCATCCATTTCATCGACGAATGGTACTTCGAAATTTGTGGAGACAATATCTTTCTTAATACAACAGATGAAGTGCTGTCGGAATGTGGTGAGAAAAAATATTATAATCTAGAACACGAACAACAAATCAATGTTTTATGGTAGCTCCAACTACAACAAGACTGGGTACAAATAGACAAAATCTACTTAAAGATCAGATATTTTACCACGTAATATTGATTGTAAAGCATTCCAAATTTGTTTTATGAATTTTCTTTTTCTTATTCTTTATCCGCGCTATTGTCAATGTTGTTGTCTAACAATAAAAAAAGGAAAACCGCGAATTTACTCAAAAACTTATTTTTCATCGTTTTCATCAAGGCCATATCACCACGAGAAGCTGTATTTATCATTTTCTGTTTAACTCAGCTCAGGTTGCATGTAAGAGCGAATGTGAATATAGTTGTGGTAGATGTATACGTGTGAAGGTGGGTTTGCGTGTCACTGAAGCGAGAGTATAGATGCGGGCAAAGTAAAGATCTTCACCTACCTATGTTCACGTCTATTCTCACATTCTCATCTACACACACACACACACACACACACACAACATCTCAGGATCTTTGCGCGTTTCTTTGTAGAGGTATGAATCGCCGAAGATGAGCCTGGCTGTGAGCGAGTGCTAGTAATCTTCTGCTTACCAACACCCCATACGTACAGCCCAGCCATACCCACACCGATCCGTGCAATCGTATTTGATTACGCAAAGGTTTTCACAACACTATAAAACAGTATTAGTCAAGATCAGTCATTTGCATCAACGAGACATGTTGCATCTTATTTTCCTATCATTGACTTATGTTTGCATTACTCACTGCATTAGCGCCCTCCGTTCTTTGCATCATGTCGTCAATCATGTTTTCTTCTCCATGAATCACGCAGCGACATCCTTCCTTCTTATTTTCATATTACCTCGTCGTTATCTTAAGTAAGCAAGCGGTCAGTATTTAATAGAGTAATTTCAGCAGAAATATTATTCTGTAAAATGCTTCGAATCAAGCAAGATTCTTCTTCGTCTCACAATAGTCAAAACAACAACAATACGTGCCCTTAAAACAAATGAATGTCGAAGCCTACATTAAATCATTTGCTGCTGATGTAACCATCAAACAAGTTTTTCGTAACAATGAAACGAAACCAATCGAGGCTGTATACTGTTTTCCAATAGAAGAACAAGCAGCAATCTACTCATTTATTGCTCGAATTGATGTTCGAGAAATTATAGCACAGTTAAAAGAAAAACAAGAAGCGCAACGAGAATACAGTGATGCTATTCGTCAAGGTCATGGTGCATATTTACTCGAACAAGATGAGAAATCTCAAGATAATTTTATTATCAACGTTGGTACACTACTACCCGGTAAAGAGTGTCATATTCATATATCGTATGTCTCCGAACTGAATCTTGTTCAAAATGGAAGTAGCATCCAATTTGTTGTTCCAACAACAATCGCACCACGTTACAACCCTGAGAAAGGCGGAATTAGTTCACCAGCTGGTACTACATCCAAATACGTTCAAACAGCTCCATACACAATTGAATTTCGTTGTCGAGTGGAGAAAGCCAACATCTCTCGAGTGAGTTCAACGTCTCATCCAATTCAGATTGATCTTAGCCAAGAGAATGTATATGTCATTGAATTTGCACAACAAAATACCTATCTAGATCGAGATATTTTGTTCGATATTGAATTAGCTAGCAGTCATGCGAATATCATTGTTGCTGTGGAGCAAGTTGCTGTTATGGCTTCATTTATACCAACTAAAGAAGATTGTCAACGCGCGATGAATAATATGAAGACGACCAATGAATTTATGTTTGTTATCGATTGCAGTGGATCAATGCGAGATGAGAACAAGATCGAATTGGTGCGTCAAGCCATGTTACTCTTTCTCAAGAGTCTTCCAATGGATTGTTATTTCAATATCATTCGATTCGAAACAAATCATGAGACATTATTCAAAGAGATTACTGCTGTTTACAATGAACAAAATGCTCAAAAAGCTAAAAAATTCATAAATTATTTGCAAGCGGATTTGGGTGGAACTGAATTGGTTAGTTTCAACCATTTTATCTTAAAAAAATACTAAACTTCTATCTCTATTCTAGTTAAGACCACTTCAATGGTTAGAACAACATTCGCCAGAAGAAGGTCGTGCACGACAAATATTTCTGTTGGCCGATGGAGAAATTTCAAATGTCAACGAAGTACTTAATCTATGTCGTTCAATGGCTACTTCGACACGTATATTTTCATGTGATTTGGGTCATTCGCCAAGTCGCTCACTGGTCAAAGGTCTTGCTCGAGCAACAAATGGACGCTTCGTTTTTATTCCGCCTAAAACTAGTGTCGATGTTCATGTTGGTGAACAGTTACAAAAAGCTCTTCAATCGTCTATAACCAACGTACAAGTGGAATGGAATCTTGGTACTAATGTTATGAGTGCACCAACAAAAATACCACCAGTCTATGCTAATGATCGTCTAATTGTCTATGCACTTACCAATGATCCAATGATTGTCTTCGATCACAATTCGAATGTCAAATTACATACCAATAAAAATTTAATATAATCATCGGCAATTAATACTGTGTCATGTTGACACAAGATTGTATTGAAAAGAAAACTAAATCATTTCTAAAAATATTTCTTGAACAGTAAATTGAGGTTATGCTTTTCGCACCTTTGAATGTAGAAAAATTTTTCGATAAAATTTTGAGTTATTCGAAAATGATGCTACCAATGACACGGTAGAAAGAGATTCAGAAAAAACATGATTAAGGATTAAATGAAAGAGAGATTCGATGCCGAACATTATCATTAAGATTTTATATTATATTTTGTCGATTCAATCCAACGATAAATGAAAAACAAAGAATTTTTCCATTCAGCATTTTCTTTATGCGTGTGGATGCAGGTGTTGGTTATTCTGTCTCATGTTCACACTCACATCCTACCCATCATCAATTTATTTGAATATCAAATTATCATAATGAACTACTAAGATCAATATTAAAAGTTGAAACCAACATTAATACTAAATGTATCTGTAGAATATACCTCACGAAGAAAATGAATCAGCTGTGCAGATGTATTGTAAATGTTTATGTTGACATTTACACGAATACAAGTTTAGCAGAATTTCTTTTCGTCACAAATCCTATTTATTTAATATTCAATATGAAATCCTTTCAAACTACACATAAATACGATAAATAACTGAACAGAACTTCAATATTTTCCTTTTCACAAATCAATATTACAACAACATAAAGTTGATAAGACATCTACTTTCCAGTGTTTCTCTTTTCTCACTGATGTGTTGTTAGTTATTACGAAGTCCACAATCTATTTTATTAATTTTAATACATACTTTTGTTGTTTAATAGAGCCAGTGCAATAATCTGACTAATTTCCATGTAGAAAAATCGGAAATGGATGTGGATAGTTAGGTACGTTTTAGTATGTCTATGAATGTGGACCAGTGACTGTGAGTATGTGGTCTCCAGTTTATATACCTGTGGTTGTGACCACCCGTACTCTAGTTCCATACATAAACCGAAACACTGTTTTCTGAATCCAATCCCACACCATTTTTTTCTCTTAGTTTCGTTTTGTTGGTGGTTTTCTTATTCCGATGTACTATTGGTTGTTTCTATGCGAAAGAAGTTTCTTTTAATATTACAGAGTGTGGGTGTAGGTTTGATAATAATGTACACGAAGACCCACAGTCCAAAACGCTAGATGATAGTATTGTCTGAGTATTTTTCTGCAGCGATAATCGTTTTCATAGTTTCTCTCTCTCTCGATGTGGTGTAGTATGAAACTGAGACGTTGGTGATATTTGCATAGTTTTTCATGTACTTTTTGTGACAGAGAAAAATGATATCGTTTATCACTTTCTTTCTTTCTATTGTGCTCTCAAATGGTGTATTTTGTAAATTAAAGGTAACACTTTCATATACATTGACAAGCTTTATAAAGAAATCATTGATCGATCAAAGGGTTTCATAAACTGGAATATTAGGAAATCCTCATATATACTATGAGCTAACTCAGATAAACGGTTTTTATACAATGGTCAACATTAAACTTTGTTCTGCAGCATTTAACATCACCTGTTTCTGTTATAAAGCTAAGAGATGAATGTGAGATATCTTTTTCAAATATTTACTTTTGTATCAACAGTATATGAGAGCTGACAATAACCTGAAAGTAGAAGAAAAAAATCATATCATTTTTTATTCTTTGTACAGGATGATGCAAAATCTTTTGCAGGTAGGGTACAACTTTAACAACAAATAATATAAAAATGAATTATATACCAAACGAAAGCTTATCGAAAACGGGATTAATAAGTATAACTGGTAATCCATAGGATGATTATGAGCTATAGAATTATAGAAGTTTCTATTGGGTGTATCATGATAAATGAGCCGCTTAGTATTTTCTATTTTTCTCGTATTCCTTTAGGATCCTAAGATCAGTGCTTTTTTAAAAAGATATGTCACGAAATACTCTACAAAACCTTACCTAAACTTTTATATTAGAACTTCAATCAAGAGAACTACGTAAATTATACGAAAGGTGGAAAAACTGAAAACTTTGTATATGTAGTGTCTTTTTCGACTTGAACTTTTTTCTTCTGCTATTATTTCCGTAAAAAGTGAGGCAAACGTAGTGAAGAACAATCATTGCTGATCAAAACAAAATAAACCCAATGGAAAAAACTTTTTTTATAGCTCAAAATAATCCCACGGATTACTAGTTATACTCGTTAATCCCGTTTTCGATGAGCTTTCATTTGGTATATAATTCATTTTTACATCATTTGTCGTTGGAGCTGTACACTCTTGCAAAAGATTTCACACCATCCCGTATACAGCATAGTAATTGTCGCTTTTCTCTCCGTTTTTTTTTTGTTTCAAAACATCCATCCAAAGAAGAGCTTTATCTGATAAATTTCTTTGATAGGCAACTATGAACAATCCTATCTATGTTTGGCAGCCGTTAAAACACTTTATCGTATTTTAAAAAACACGTTTCTCCAAATTGTACTCATTCACACAAGCATTCGGAATGACATATGAATTCAAACATTTACATCTTAAAATTCTTAAACTAGTGTTTGTATTTGAGTTTTTGTTTCCTTTTTTTTTCTATGTTGAAACTCTAAATGATATGAAAGTTAAAAGACGAAAGAAAACTGAAGAATATATGATATATTTCGAGTGTTAGGTCTAGTGTTAGGCCTGACCAAGCATTTCCGTCTTTCCTACCCTTTATATAGGACTTTCCCATAGGGATGGCGATTTTCTACACAATGAGCTGAATTTTTTTTTCCTTTGAGCTATCAGGCTTCAAATCATCGTAGGAGTTTATCTTGAAAATTTCAGCCCTTTAAACGATCCGCAAGAAAAGTTGATCATTTTGTGATGTACAGATTATCGACCAATTCCAAATATGACTATGGGAATTTCCCATGGTCATATTCGGAATCAGCATAGTAGATAACCTGTAACCTACTAGATTTCGATCCAAAAAACGATTTATCAGTTGAAGATGTTTCCTTATAAGCGTTTATTGCACATCATGAAGTTTCTATATTGATCTACAGATGAACGTAAAGCAATAGTACTGACATGTCGAAACTGTTCCTCCTATTTACCATGTTATGAAAATCTTTTATAATCTTGCATTAAAATGTAGATTTCGACTAAAATATTGAGGAGCTGAACAACAAAATCATACACAAATGTTTTCCATTTAGAATCCTTTCTCATCATTGCTGGTAGTTTACATTGACCTGTCAAAAAATTTGAATAATGACCGATCACAAATATGTCTTTTACGGAACGATAATAGATACACCTGATCCACTGACATTACGAATTAGAAAACAACATGTTTGTGTTGTAAACAAAGGCAAAATCGAAATTATTGAACCGTCTGCTAGTCGAAATCTTGACGAACACCAGAACTTCACGTTCATCAAGCTAAATGAAAGTCAATTTATCTGTCCTGGATTTGTCGACTTACATTGTCACGCTCCTCAATATCGACAAGCAGGAAGTGCAACAGAAGTTCCTCTTCTTGAATGGCTCTCTAAATTCACTTTTCCAAACGAAGCTCGATGTTCTGATCCTTCGTACGCTCGAGATCTTTATACGAAACTGGTCTCTAGATTATTACGTAATGGTACGACGACTACTCAGTATTTTGCAACGATACATCTTGAAGCAACAAAAATTCTAGCTGACATTTGTCAAGAAAAAGGACAACGAGCATATATTGGCAAAGTATGTGCAGATCAAAATTCACCAGATTTTTATATCGAAACGGCAGATGAAAGTGTTCGGAATACAGAAGAATTTATTAACTATGTTCACCATATGCAAAAAGGAAGAGACGTTGCTGGGACGAATGCTTTGATACATCCTGTCATTACTCCCAGATTCATACCGACATGTTCGATAAATTTACTTTCTCAATTAGGACAATTAGCGAAGAAATACGATGTTCACGTACAATCACATATGTCAGAGACAGCAGATCAAGTTGCATTCGTACATTATCTTTATCCAAGCATTGGAAACGGACGAGATGTAGCCATATTTCATGAAACTGGTCTCTTGACAAACAAAGCAGTTTTTGCTCATGGAGTTTATTTAGCAGATAACGAAGTTGACGAAATGATTACACGTGGAAGTGCTGTAGCCAGTTGTCCAGTTGCAAATTTTCTTTTCTCCAAGGGAGTCACAGCAATAGAACATCTTAGAAACAGAGGATTGAATGTTGGTTTGGGAACGGATATTGGAGGTGGGTATTCAAGTAGCATGCTTCCTGTCGTACGAGCTACTGTTTTTGCAAACAGAACAATGGATTTTGTCTCTTTTGATCGTTCAAATGCTACATTACCATTGTTTCCTGAACATAAAGATGCTGTTATCGATTTTAAATACGCTTTCTATTTGGCTACTCTTGGAGGTGCACAAGCTTTGAGTATCGATTCACAAATTGGAAGTTTTGAAGTGGGAAAACAATTTGATGCATTACTTATAGATTGTAACAAGGAGAATCAAGCATTTGATTATTGGAAAGAAGATGAAATGGACATTATATTTGAGAAATGGGTAAATGCAGGAGATGATAGAAATATTACTGGAGTTTGGGTTCAAGGAATAAAAGTCGAATGTACTTAGTATAATATAACAACTGGTAAACTGTAAATTCAGTAATATATGACATTTTTTTTCATTTCTACATGGATGTTGAAAAATTTTGTAATATTAGTTTTTTATTTTAATAAACGAGCAAAATTATACATATCGTCATAAAGTGTGAAACAGAACAATCAATGATCTGAATTCGAAAAAATTGTTCACAATGGTGTACTTTATTCTTTCAAAATCTTCTCACGTATTTCTATTTCCATTGAGGAAAGTACCGATTTTTGACATTTTTTTCGAAGGAAAATCATACATAACCCATTATTAATCAGTTAATGCCAGTATGAAATTAAATGATGTTTCTTTAATTATATATACATACTTTTTTCTTCATAGTATACTTTATTTATTTTATTCTAAACATTTCGATTGATTACTATCCATTTTAAAATAGAATATGAGTAATTACGAGTCGAATAACTTGAGAATGCAAGCAGCTAGCGACCTGCATTATTCACCATTAGAAAGAGGACACTGGGGAAGAAGTAAATGTATGAAAAAATTTGATTAGTCAGTAATGGACGAATCGGATGAGCAGTCGTTGGACATTTTTAGGAGAGCTTTCGAAACGCTTTGTTCGCTTCTTTCCCAACTTCAATTAAACCATTCGATAGAAAAAATGGTTCTGTTTCGATTTACACAAGGCCGAGTCCGATGGTATACTCCATTCAGGAGCTATACACATTTTCTGGAGATCCCCCGAAATCGGTTATATGACGTTTAATCACCCATAAAATGGTCACATTATAGGTAATCGACTATGCTGAATCCAGTGATGATGTTTGCCTTTTATTTCAAAGTAATCTGAGACAACTATATCAAGATTTTCGAAAATCTAGTTGTTGCTGCTATGTGGAGTAGAGAATAGATATATCGAAAATCTTGATATAGTAGCCTCAGATTGCTTTGAAACCAAAAACAAACATCACCACTGGACTCAGCATGGTCGATTACCTATAGTGTAACTCTTTTATGGGTAATGGAAGGTCACATGACAAATTTCGAAGGTCTCCGGAAAATGCGTATAGCTTCTGAATGGAGCATGCTATCGGGCTCGATCTTATGTAGATTAAAATAGAACGATTTCTTCTATCGAATGGTTTAATTGAAACTCAAAGAGAAACAAAAAAAAAAACGTTTCAAAAACTGTCCTAAAAATGCCTAACGGGTGCTCATTCGATTGGTCGATTACTGACAAATCAAATCTTTTCATACATTTACGTCCCCCAATGTTCTCTTTCTAATAGTAAAAACCGTAAGTCGCTAGCTGCTTGCGTTCTCGAGTTATTCGACTCACAATCATTCATCTTCTATTTTGAAATGGATAATACATATCTAAACCAATGAATTACATTAGCTTATGAATGTATCAAAAATAGTTCAGATTTGATAAGGAAATTGTAGTATGGCTTAAATGATATATAGGAACTAGAATATTGTTATAATCTTTCCAGTTTTCTAATAAATTTGTTTCCTATGTTTTTCAAAACAATAAAATGAAGTCATTAAAGAGATTATGGATACCCATAGCTGTTACTAGATGAGCTTTTCAATGAATATGTGTTATATATGCAACTCTTTTTTTCATAACGATACTTTTGATTATATGTTGCTTTATTTATATCATTTGATTGAAATCATATTCAATAAAATCTTTTGTAGCATTCAAAAAACAAAATAATTTAATCAAATAAATAAAACTTACTCTCGCCAACAAACAGGTAATAAAATTATTGCACGACTTAGTAGAAATGTAAAGTAAAAATGTCTACTAACCAGGAAATATTCCCAAATGATCCGCTCTGTTTTGATTCATTCATACCTCATTCGATAGAGTGCATTGAAATAAGAAAAGGCTTAAAAGGATTACGTAGGTGAAGTTAGTCCCATATTCGAGTAAAACCAGCCGATATTCGTCCAGGAAGCTGTTCCAACTGTTTCAATTAGTTTCAGAATAGAACTCGACGAGCTCTATCCAGTGATATCGTTGGATTTTTTCTAGCTCAAATAATGGCTCCAACAATTGCGAAATACTATATTTTCGTTGGATCTTTCAAGGCTATCGAATGACTTTGAAACCTATCTATAGATAAAATTTCAGGTCGAAATTCTTCATTTTGGTTTTTTTTCCGAAATGCCTGGCTCACTGGAAAAATCTCAGTAAAACAATCATAACCCTTCACCAGTAGGCCATGGGCATGAATTATAAGTAAAACAGATTTTCTAACATCAACAGAAATATAATTACTTCCAGAAATTTTTGGAAGATCTAGATGTGGATGAAGGTGAGTAATTCATACTCACATCTTCTCATAGCAATCGCTGAAATTGATTAAAACATATTCAATCTTTTTTTTCGGTGGACTTTTAGGGCACCCTGTATCTAACGATTGTAAAAATTAACACAGCAAAGACAAAAAAAAATTTGGATTAAGATATTCAAACTATTAATCTATGCTCTTGAGATTGATGATAATTCTATTTCAAATATTACAAATAATCAAATCGAATCATGACTTGAATATCTTCTATCCAATGAAGATTCTTTAAATAAAATACAAGAAATCTATCCCTATTCGTATTCTACTTTGTTGTATGTATGGTAGCGATAAAATAAATTATGTCGAAACATTTTGTTCTCATTTATTTTCACGTTTTTCTTATGTCGCTTAACAATGAATCATCATTTGTAATAAATACTTCTCTTGATTGATCAAATCGAAAAGTAAAAATAATGTAAGAAAACTATGAATGTGTTTTCGATTAGCTTGAATTTATTTGATTTTATGAATGAGATAGAAAAGTAACTCTTAATTCAATGATATAAGCCAATGAAATACACTTTTAATGGAAGACTTTTTGTTTTGTTTGTTAATTTTATTAGATACTTGCAAGATAAAATCGGAGAGAGGTATTGGAGAAAATCAGATAATTTTCCAATTGTAAAAACTGTACCAGAGTCTCGTTGTTTTCTTCCATATATCCTGCAAAAGACCGATTTCAAGAGAAGCTCATAAATTCAATCAGAACTTAATACAATTTTCTGCATTATGAAAATTGTTACAGGTTCCTAGAGAGTTCTACTTTCTCTTAGTTTCTTCTGTACGGAATATCTTTTCATGTTTATTTCAGAAGTTTATTGATGCTTATGCCATCGAAGACGACTACATTTGTAATAGCTGTTAAAAATGAAATAACTTGTGAATTTTGAAACTCGCAATCAGTTTTCAACTAGATTTATATATTTTGATCATCGCGTCAAATATGCAATCAATTTAGTTTTTGTAAGTATCTTTTTTACAGTCTCTTCAGAAATTCAATGATCATTGCTGATAGACGATACAGGTTTATTACGAATACTTGAGGACAATGGATAAATAATTGTGAACTCTATCGTCAGAAAGACTCAAACGGTTCTAAAACGTTATTGGCTGATCACAGGAATCAATTAAATTTCCCAAATCTCTGTAAAATTGCAAAGAAGTAACCAGAAAACTTGTCTAAAGTGGGAGAATGCTCCAGGAGAAATTTTTCTTCACTTACATCATCACTGAGAATAGTTGCGATCATCATGGAACGAAATTTTTTGAAAAGTATCATTTCTCATTGAGATATATATACTCTGTAAGTTTCAGAGATTTTGATGAAAACGACTTCCAGTTAAGGGAATTCAGATTACAAGCGTGAAGCATCGTTTATGTTACTTGATTGTAACCAAGTGAACACGCACGTTCTTTTTTTCAGCTTCATTTTTTTTACGATGCGAACATTTTTTTTTCTTTGCATTATGTGTTATCGTTAACAACAGAACAAATATAAAAGTAAGAGAAAAGAACACGTGTCACTTCAATTGTAATACACCAGAGCAAATAAAATTTATCAAAGAGCAATAATGTCAACTGTGAAATTTCGAATAGTCGACAGTGAATAAGTACGATTCGAACAATATTTCTCTTATGTTTTTCTTCTAGTGATCGATGGCCATGAATCGTATGTAAATTGACAGTAGGCAATACAAATTAGGAAAGTAATTGTAATGTGAACATTAATTGATAACGTAGCATGGTAGGAAAAAAAACACTTTTTAAAGGTGAAAAAGGACATAATACGCTATTCTTGAAAGCATTTTTTCTTTAGTTTTGTTTTTGATGATAAGTATTTAAGTTTCATTCTGTATTGAGAATTTCTATTCGGTCTATTAACAGCAGAGTATACTTATATGAATTAGAAGAAGATAGAAAGTTTTTTTTTTAAAACGGCGAATGAGTATCTTTTGAATAAATTTCGATCGAGAGAGAGCTGTGATTTTCATTGTTAAAGACGCGTCGAACCGTAGAGTATAGATTTTGAAGTTTTCAAACAAGATTTTTGAAAGTGAATATATCTCATAGGGTAATCGATAGTTAGTTTTCAATAATTACGTGTTCATTTAAAACGCTAATCCAAGATCTACAATTATGCAAGACTCAAAATTTTTACCATGTTTTCATCTTGTAGATTTTCTTCTGATGACAACGTTAAACTTTCCTCATCCTAAGCAAAAACTGCTTCCAGACCAAATTCAATGCGCATCACCACCGCATCAGTCATTGAACCCGACAATAACTGATCGATTCAAAGGTTCTCTGTTGGGCCTAGCCGTTGGTGATGCACTAGGCGCAAGTGTTGAATTTCGCCCACGACAGTATCTCGTCGATCGTCCTGTAAAAGATATGCAATCTGGAGGAACATGGGGTCTTCAAGCTGGACAATGGACAGATGATACATCGATGGCTTTGTGTCTCGCATCATCACTCATTAGTCGGAAAGGATTTGATCCATACGATCAGTTAGTACGTTACAAGTGGTGGTACAAGTATGGTTATTTATCTTCAACCGGACGCTGCTTTGATATTGGCAATGCGACGCATAAATCATTGGACGAATTTTGTCGTCGTCAGAATGAGTGTCAACGACGTTGGAAAGGAGTTAATGAAGACAAAATGGACAGCTTTTCATATGAAGAAATGCGTCCATCAGGTTTTGACGTCAATTGTGGTGGACAAAATGCAAATGGTAATGGTGCGCTAATGCGTCTTGCACCTGTACCACTCTTTTTCTATCGAGAACCTCAAAAGGCTGTCGAATTATCAGGACAAAGTGCTCGTTTGACACATGGTGATCCAAGAGCAATCGATGCATGTCGTTACTATGGAGCTCTCATCGTTGCAGCAATGCACGGCGAGAGTAAGGAACAGTTACTCGATTCTAAATTTTATTCAGCACATCGAACTTGGTTTGGAACGAATGAGCTTCACGGAGATGTACTTGCTGTAGCAAACGGTTCATTCAAAAACGATGGTGGATATGCAACAGGAATTCGAGGTAGTGGTCAAAGTGTTAAGTCACTCGAAGCAGCTTTATGGGCATTTTGGAGTGATGAGCAATCTTTTGAAAAAGGAATACTTAAAGCAGTAAACCTTGGTGATGATACGGATACAACAGGAGCTATCTATGGGCAACTAGCAGGTGCCCACTATGGTTTTAATCAAATTCCTCAAGACTGGACGCAAAAACTCTATGCGAAAAATTTAATTTCCTGCGTCGCTGAATGGCTACAAGCGCTAGGGGATCCGCATTTTCCAACACAGACATCACGACAACAAGTGTCAGGAAATTCGCGCTTGCCACTACAGCAACAATTGTCAGAAAACTCACGCTCTTCAGTACAGCCATCGCAGCAACAACTGTCAGGAGACCCGCGCTTTTCAACACAGACATCACGACAACAAGTGTCAGGAGATTCGCGCTTTCCACTACAGCAACAATTGTCAGAAAACTCGCGCTCTTCAGTACAGCCATCACAGCAACAACTGTCAAAAGACCCGCGCTTTTCAACACAGACATCACAACAACAAATGTCAGAAACTCCACGCTCTCCAGCACAGGCATCACAGCAACAAGCAGCAACCAGAATTTCTCAACCAACTGGAGCACAACACGAACAAAATAACAAGACTCATCAAAATCCAACAAAAGTCGTGTCAAATCCAACTAATCATCGGCCTATTATATCTTCTGATTCGACTACAAACAATGCAGCACAGTATAATATGCCCACTACAAAACCTGGTCCTGCTACTAATAAAAACACCAGCATTACGAAAAATACCCAACCACACTCGACGCCTTGGGATTGGTTCCGACCTCAACAATAGTTCTTTTATAAGAGACTGAAATGCGATATGGAGTCTCATCTACTCGATTGTACTTTACGTTAAATTTATACAGTTCATTGCCTATTCTGAAAAACTCTGTACCCTAATCACACTTCTTCTTTGATAATAAACACGAACACAATGAATAGATATTGATTGCCAGTAAAATCTCGTTTTCATATAAGAATTTTTTAATGAATTCATTGATTTGTCTTCATTTGTTTCGTATGCAGTCATCGAACACGAAGAAAAATTTTTTGCTCAATGACATCGATAAGAAAGAAATTGAAAGGAACAAGTCGAAGTAGAGATATTCAATCAAAACACGAGAGAAAATTTCCACATCATCACGATAATTTTCGATGAATATCTTCACTGAGTTGATAGATTCATTCGGAAAAGGTTGGATAAAAAAAAAGAAACGATAATCGATGCGATACAGTCGAATAGTACTAAAAGAAAGAATCATAGTAACATGAATATGTGTACATCTTTTTTCGATTAGCTCTATGTTTCTGATATTGCTCTCGTTTTATTTGTTGTCCTATTCACACATAAAATGACATGTTTTGCAAAGAATAACGTGATTCGATAGAATAAGATTATTTTTCATTCTCAGTAGAAAGCATACCATTCAACTCGTCTGATCATTGAATATTGATTGATATTGTACTGAAAACAAATAAAATTGAATTTCTTTGATGTCTTGTACACCAAATTACGTGTCATTTAGTGTGTAAATAGGGCAATAAACCTATGTTTTTATTTAGTTATAATGTTTATCAAATCGGACATTTTACAATGGTCAGAAAAATTCCAATCAACGAATGTACAAATTCAAAAAATGCTGACAAAAGATTCTTCTAAATGTTTTCATAGGTATATAGCATATATGTGACTATCAGTAAAGACGTAAAATCTATAGAATATCATTTCAAATTTTCATATTTCCACCTCATGTTACTTGCATGATCACAAATTAATCTTTAAGCATATCAAACTGTATCATAAGATAAAGAAAAGGACTTTCATATACAACAGGTGCCTTCGATTTTTCGTTATGGTTTGTTGAAGATATACAATAAAAAAGAAACATTTTGTTAACTCAAGTAATTAAAATTTAATAAAAGTGTTGTTAACAAAAACATTACCAAATTTATGTTAATCATTTACTTTAGTATGCTATCATTTTTTGTTTTTAGTTTTTCAAACAAGAATGAATTGTATACAGCCCAATAATTAGTCAGATATCTACCAGAGGTGTCAACAGAATGATTTTTTATACCCTGTCCTGCCCTATTTTGGTTCAATGAACCGAGCAGAGCAGAGCAAGATACTCTTAGGCACGTATCATCATTCGCATTGAATGAAATAGAAATCATAACTTAATGTTTTCCTTTAGTTCTGTTTTGCGTGTTTATTGACGTACTCAATCATCTTTTATGATTGGAAAGATGTTAAGACTTTCATTCTCTTAGTCCGTTCAATGAACAAATTTGCATATATATTTTATGTCTTCTCCTATTCGATCATGAAAAATTTATATGATGATCAACAAAATCGTATTTCAATAAAACTTACTTCTGATAAATTGAAGTTTTGTTTGAGCTCATCTGAATCTTGTACAAAACAAGCGCATCTCATTGTTACTTTATTATGATTATTTGATCATCATTATAATTATACTCATAGCTCCACTTCTTTATCATTTACAAAAAGATATTATTGTTCAATCAATTCAATGTTTATCGAATTGAGAAGTTTTTACATTAATTAATATGTTTCCTGAATGTTAATGGAAAAACCGACCATAAAACAATATGCAGTTATGCATCAATTGAAAATCGTCATTCTTCATTTATTTTCTACGTAAGTTCGAATGATCATTTTTACAGCTTGTCTTTTTCCACAGTGTACTTTCAATCAATTAGACAAGAATAACTGATAATTCTGTGGCTCTATTACGAGTATCTTACTATCAAATCAAACAAACCATGTGGAAGCCGATGATGTTGACCTTCTAGCTTCTTCATATGAAAGACAATCATGTCTTGATTAATTCTTGCAATCACAGTTCAACATGCTCTATTTTCCGATCGAAAACATCGAGTTTAAACTGTATGTAATGCGAATGTAAGATATCTTTAATAGATACGAACAGTTTCGAATTGCTTTTAAGAACTTGATATTTTTATAATGCGAAAAGGCAAACATCTCGCTCACTACTAATGAGTAAAACGATTGATCCGTTCGAATTCGATTTTTCTCAATTTTCTCAAAATTTTCATCACCCACTAATAATTATCGATATTATAAATGCCTTGATTGATAAAACAAAGCAAACACCATTTCTTGATGCATTTATACAAGAATTCATTGTCCTATGGGACGATAATTATCAATTCACCAAAGACAAACTTTGAACAATCAAATCGTCATTTTGATACTACTTCTGATCTAAAACTGATGCATTTTATAAATAATCATTCATTGATCAATATTTCATTTGTTGGATTTATTAACAATCTACCGACGAAAACTTTACATAATTCGACATACCACAAAGCTTATCCCTATGTATGGTATATTGCAATAACAGGTTCTAATCTCAAAGAATACTGTAATACTTATCGAGACTATCGTCTATATGACAAGGTTGACATAGGATTATTAAAACAAATACAGTCTGTGGTGGTCGCTACAATTCAGATTCACTATGTATTCGACGATTTCGGACAGTTCTCGGTAAGATGCTCAATGAAGAACAGCAGAAACTGTTTTTGAAATTTGTTTGAGAACGGTGTACGTTACCAAGATATCGTGATGATTTTAAATCAGAATTTCGAATCAATCCATATGATATTTCTAATGCATCAATACATGGCATACTTTCACATAAGTAGAATCCTAAATATTCATAATTTCTATCATATGATGGTATTTTTGGAAAGGGTTACTTTACAATTGTCTACTTAGAATATAAGCTTTTTTTATCTTGTTTTTGTTCTAGGATCACATACATATAGTTTTGTTCTTGATTTACCTGAATATTCATTGACTGAGATAATGTATAATCGCTTTAACTATGCTATTACTCTTTGTTCAAGCATTGACGGAGATAGCAGCAAGATGAAGCTCGTGGTCCAAATGATTTGGATTCCGATTGTCGTGAATATAATTAACGATAATATTCATTCTGACAATATTTCCTGTATCTCCCAATACGTTATATCTTATTTACTTGATATGTAACTTGGTTTTTTTTTTTTTTTTTGAAAAAATTATGGTAAACAGATATCACCCTGATCTTCATATTCGTATCTTGATGTGCTGCACTTGCGTCAAGTTGTGCAGTGTGTGGATATGAGTTTCGACGTGGCTGTTCGTATACGTGAGAACTATACATCTACATGCTTCACACTCTGCTATGCAGAAGAATACACATAAAAGTATGAATTCGATCATTGAAGCAATGTCGAACGGAATTAATAATGTTGGAAAAAATTATCTAGATAAGATTACTCTAGTAGTTCGTTTGCGCTGTAGTATTGATCAACGGTCAATTAAGTTCGTTTCATCGATCGTCTTGTCGGATCGAGTCTTTGCAGTAAAAAAAGATAACTTGACAAAAGTTCATTTCTCAAAATCATTCGTATCCTAATGGAGAACTATCTGTAAAGATTGATCTTTTTCGTTGAAAATTCAAGTTCTATTTTGACAACACAATGAATTGTGTTAGTTTTATTTTTCTTGACGATAATCAACTTCTTCTCAGCTTCTCTAGATGTCTAGATTTGAATTCACCAATTCTTTTTTTTGTAGTTTGTTCAAACCATATCAGTAAATCGAGGCAGTATGAGTCATTTCGTTCTGTACGTGTTAGTATAAGCATCATATTATGTTCTCTTAAATATTTTCAAAGTCTAAAATTAGTAGGGAAAATATTGGATGTGAAAAAAGGAGAAATTTATTCGTCTATAATGTGAACATGCAAAATCAAACGTTTATTTCACCTTTTAAATAGGTAACTACTTTGCCTGACATGCGCACCCTGTCACCTTGATTTTCGCACCAAAGTTCTCCTTTACGCGTCGAAATCTGGTAAGCATGCAGCTGATTTTTACCCAATCTTTCAGCCCAATAAGGAATTAGACTGCAATGTGCTGAACCAGTAACAGGATCTTCAGGAACGCCAGCGCTCGGCGCAAAAAATCTCGAAACAAAATCGACTTCATCACCAGGAGCAGTTACAATCACACCAAAAGCAGCATCAATGTTAGCTAACGCCATAAAATCTGGCGATAATTGTTTGACATCAGCCTCGCTTTCATAAACGAGCATATAATCTCTTGCTTTATAAACTTCGACGGGAATTACATTACTGCGTAGTGCTGACAATAGTCCATCAGACAAATCAGCTTTTGCTGCTGGACGAGCTGGAAAATCGAGGGTATATAAAGCATCCTTTTTTTGGCGGGTTACTTTTAGTACACCAGCTTTCTTGGTGTGAAAGTTGATTTCCTCATTCATTGGAGACATTTCAGTGAAAATAATATATGCAGCTGCTAATGTCGCATGACCACAAAGGTCTATTTCCAGTTGGGGTGTGAACCAACGAAGTTCATATCCATCATTGCCAGAGTTTGGCACGAAAAAAGCCGTTTCAGAGAGATTGTTTTCAGCAGCAATTTTTTGCATCAATGAGTCGGGTAGCCATTTGTCTAATGGACATACTGCTGCCGGGTTGCCGCCAAATAATTGATCAGTAAAAGCATCAACCTGATATATTTTAATGTTCATAATTGTAATTAATTATGCTATTTTTCAATATTGTTTACTACAAATATCGATAACCTAAATCGTATCAAAGAAAACATATCACTTTCTTCCTGGTCAAGTGCAAAACTGTTTAATATTTCCCACTCAATATATTTTTGTCTCGATTATTTATGTCTAACAGTTTATTTCAAAATATCTCACGAGTTGGTTAGTTCATAAGATCTTTTTACATTACTTGTAATATTCACTCGAAGTCGAAGAAATCTTTATAAAAGCAAAAATTCCAGAGTATGATAAATTTTTACCTTATTGCAACTTTTATCCGTTGTACTACTTAGTACCTATCTCTTTACATTGTAATTTTTTTAACAGATACTTTTTTCAAAATTATTCTAAAACTTACTCGATTAAAGTAATAGATATGGTCGTATGGTGTGAGCTTTTATAAAAAAAAAGAAAAGTAGAATGTCGAAATGCATGATGTGATAACTTATATATTGTATCTCAGGTGCACATTATCAAAAAAGACACAGAGAAATTGATAAGATTTCTCATCTCTTTGTCATTCAAGCTTGTTCTCCATTTTTACATAACCTACATATTTGCATACATATGTGAACAGTTGGTGTTCTCTCTCATACTTTCTTACAAGAGAAAAAAAGATGATGAGTGTGGGTGCGAGGTCGAATGAAGATAACATGCACACTCTAATCGGCCATTCGATAAGCATTTTGACACGTCAATTTCAGCTACTGATGGACAGGGTGTTGATTTTTCTATGCCACACCTACACTCACATCTAGACACAAACATCTTTTTATCGATTTTAATATTTTCGCTTAAAAACTTGCACTATCTGTTTCAAATGATTCGTATAGGTCTTTATCGGTTTCAAATAAGTCAACTAGTATAACATAATCCTACAAAAACAAATCTTATATAAGCCGAAGAGAGAATAGAGGGTAAGAGTGTTATAGAAATCTTAATAAGTCTTCGTACGATTCTCGATGCAACAATTCGCGGTAAAAATCTATTCAATCCCGATTAGCTAATAACGGCTGCACCCTTGCATACCATACGACTTACATAGCACTTCGACTAGAACAATTAACATCATTTAGACCAGATAGAATCACGAATACTCATCTATGACCTAAGCAGACGGCACGCAAAAGATGTTCAGCCTATTGTAATTGTCATTGTGAGAAGACTAGGAAAACCATGTTCAATCATAATTTTTGCATGACAAAAGATACTCTTTTGAATGGTTCTTTGGAAATTAAAGTGATCGTTGGTATTTATACTAAAATATTTCTTTTTCTCAAAACGACTGAAAAATACGATTTTCCTCACTACTTGGCTATTTTGGGTATGGATATTGGTGTGTGTATGTTGGTGTGGATAGTTGAGTATGGGAGAATGCAGATGTAGGTTAGTAGTAGACAATCATCTACACTCACACTCACATTCTGAGTATGTGTAGATAAGTTGACTTAATATTATCTACAACATCAGTTTTTTTTTAATTTCATTAATAGATGCGTACATATAGAAGATGATATATTGCACGATTTTTGTATAAATCATAGAAATTAGAATTTTACGGAAAAATGAAAGTTTCGATTTAAACCTTAAAAATATTCATTATACATACATATTGTATATCAGTTGATTGCTCTTGACCTTGACTACATTTTTGTCTATAATAGACTGGTTTTTTCAATACTTTGACCACATGATTATCTCGCTTATACGACATACTCCCTAAATTAGAGTATGCACTCGTATGATAAAAAAAGTTCAGAAAAATGGAATTTTGAATCATAGCCATCTATAGAGTTTTCTAGAGAATCACTTGCTCCACAAAAAATATGCGCTAGATGAGATCTTTCCGTTTCTGATCGGACGAAATGCGAAGCAAAGAAAAATAAATGATTACTATCTTTTCAAAATTTAACTGGACAGTATTTTCATGGCATCAACTATGTTGCAAAAAGGTGAACTGTAATTTTGATGAAACATCCAATATTGTAGAGCTTTTTTAATTGTTATCATTTCGATAAAAGATTATTAAAAACTTTTATTTTTATGAAGATAGACTCAAAATACTTTAATCAGTGAAAAACCAAAACGCTTTCTGAAAAGCTCATTCTTTGATGAAAATAACTGATTGCCATTTAATGACTTTCGAAGAAAGAGAAAAAATTGATCTTTCCTGATAAGATCACGCTGAAATATATATATAATCGCTTTTTTCGTTGCATTGGAAGTTACATTCGTCAAACTTATTAATCAATACGATTGTTCTCAGCCGTACATGTCCAAAACAGTTATTATCGTTTGTTGTTCTTTACTGTTTCTTTTTTTTTCCTCTATTTTTTCTTCACCAAGTTGAACAGTAAAGTGATTAAGATTCCCATGATCATATGTTTTAAGAATAATCATGGAGTAAAAAACAAACTACGCAGTTTGCATATCACTTCAAGAAATGAGAAATAGAGAAAAGAAAATATAAATGCGTAAACGAAGAAATGTACGTAAACATACAGATGTAGGACATTAGGACATATTCCACGAGTTGAAAATAAATAGAACGACAGAAAAGGAAAAATATAGAACGAAAAGAAAAGAATTTCTGTAAACATAAACGAAGATAAAATGAAATAATGATCTATCTAGGCCTTCAACTCACTAGATTTAACATTGTCGTACACTATTCGTCTTCTCTCACTATAAACATTAGAAGTATTATGTATAACTATTCATATGTTTTCATTTAATTTTATGTTATATTAGGTAAACATTTTTATTGTTACAATCACTAATAAAACAAAACATATTCAATTCAACGTAAATTACTGATCCGTTGAAGACAGCGAGCCTTTTATGGTGTTCATTTTTCGAAGCAGTTTTACTCAACAATCCCACGAATTACACTTAGTACGTCTAAAATGAAAAAATGTAATCAACACTCACACAGCCAAGAAATATTACATCAAATCGGACAACATCAATACATTAGTTATGTCCTTGAAACAGACATTATCCGAACAGCTATCGAACCCGAAAATGCGAAAAGGTGTAACTATCAAACATAGAGCAAAATCTAGTAGTAATCAGCAGTCAACATTAATCGAATGTTTGCGAAGGTAAACAGATCTTTCTAACAAAACAATCATCTAATCCATGTAACTGAAAATAACATAGAGAACCATATTTCAAGGTAATAAATGTACTTTTAAAGAAAGACTTTTTCAAAATGAAATCGATTTTTTATTATCAATCTGGACGAAATAGTTTTAATGCTTCGTATAGATAAAATAGGCTTTTTTTTCTGCATAAGGAATATTTCGCAACTATTTTAATGTTTTCTCAACACACGAACACGTACACATATACATATATGCATGCATAAATTAAAATGTATTAAACTATTTTTTTGATTGATTTAATTCGTAGGATGGAATATCAACTTGTATTAAATAATTGCTCAGAATCTGATATTTCAAACAGTGTTCTTTGCGATCAACTTCAACAACAGCTAAAATATTATAAGTTCGATCATGCACTGGCGAAGACAGTTCAATCAGTATTCTATCTGTTTTTTCGAAAAGAAGAGGACACATAGTACGCTCTTCAAATTGCAAAATCAATTAAAGAGATCTCTCTTTTACGATATCGTCATCAAAATAATACTATCGGGGTTTCTAATGTTGTTCTAATGATATTGCATCTTCTGACATGCAGTATCATCTGGTACCTCCTAAGAACATTGTTAATACGATTCGGTATAATTTTACAAAGTATCTTAATCAACTTATAAGCGAGGTATGAAATTATTCTATGTAATACTTTGAATTGTAACTTGTGTCATTTAGAATATATTTAAATTGTTCGTTCGACGAATATCAGAGGAAACAGTTGCTCAACGTTTGAATGCTCTTGAAGGTATATATTTTTGTTTATTGAATACAGAAAACTACTTATCTATCTTTATTATAGTTCACGATAGAATCTGCAAGTTTAATCACTGTTAGTTAATGAATCAGGAATATTTTATTACCAACTTCCAAAGCATACACAAACTAACTTATTATACATTTTTTTCTGTGAAATATATTTATTACATGTATGTGTGTCTGTACTGCGTACGAGTACTGCTATCGTTCTGAACATTCTTACTGTTTGTGAGTGGCTATTATTTAACCACCAAATAAAGTTGAAATCACTGTGTAATTTTGATGCTTCCAGAATTTTAAAATATCAGATAGCTAAATATTGAAGTTATTTATTTGTATCCCATGTAAAAAAATGAGGCGAAAAGTTCAGATTTTAATAGATTTTAATGTGATTTCTCCTCTCGTTTTTGTTTACACAGGATGTAGAGGTTCAAGGAAAAAGCGAAAAAGTCAGTTGACTGTATTTATGTCCTTTGTCTTGTAGAGACAAGCGTCTTTTTTGCACATATTTCGGTTGTCTATTGTTTTACATAACAAATGTGCTAATTTTCGACGCCTGTGTGAGTAAGTTGATCACATTATCGTCACCTGTCTTTGCCAGTGTATTAGTTAACAAGCTGTTTGTTCTATTTACAGTTAATTTTTTCTTTTCTATTGGCTAATGAAAACGAATAGAATGTTTAAAAGTAAGAAAAGATAATATAGATATATCTTGTTCTATTAAGAGCAATATGCCATTCTTTTAGTATGTATGAGTCGCTTATGGTCGACAATGTTTTAGTTGATATTTCTTTATATGGAGAAAGTATTTTGCTCCTCAATTAGAAAAGCATGTGCATATTCTAGTTGATATTTTTTGTTTGAAGATCAATAAAGGTTTAGACGAAAAATGTAAGCAAATGAGCTTATTGAGAGTAGTTCTATAAATATAAATGAACAAGACAAATCAATAATTAAATAAGCATCAAGCGAGCAAAATTTAGAAGATGATTCACTTATAAAATATCTTTCGGCATGATTACCTGCACGAGTTTTCTTATTTTCAATAAGTGGAATGTTTCATAAGCTGAAGAACAGTTTTCTTATTAAGGGAGACATTTATTTTATGCTAGAATAACTAACCACACTGGCTATACATTTTCTAATTGTCAATGAAACACATTCTCCGTATAAGGAATCATATACTATTATATTGTTGGCCATGGATAGTTGAACACTTGACAAAGAAATTGCAACAAATTCATGTCGAGTTACAACTCAGTTGATGTTGTTTTTGGCCCAGCAAATAGTGCCAGAGGGAAAAAAATGGTATTTGCTGTCTAATACAAAACAATGAGCCAACTTAAACAGATAAAAAAACAAGTAAAAAGTTTTGATCGCATTTCTCTTACACTAAAATCGTCTGAAATAAGAAGAAAAATCTCTATCGGTGCCGGTTTCACTTAAGCAAATACTGGTGGCACAGCCAAATTTTGAGTGTTGGAAGCCTTCGTCTCCAAAAGTGGATGTGAATGTGGGGTATGTCTAGGTGAGGCTATGGCCTTGGCTGAAGAGAAGACCCACACCCCAGATTTCAAAGTTTTAGCCCAACAAAGAATTTCAGAAGAGTACTCACATAAATACGCACGTAGCACTTGATTCCAATTTCATGAAATGAAAAATAGTGAAACCGCCATTTCTGTTTTGTAGATGTTAAAATGTTAAGAGATTCTAAGAATATAATGAAAATAATCAAGATAGGAAGAAATGGTTGTTATAGCAATAAATGAGATATATCAAAAATTCGATGTTTAGTTTGTTCGAATCTATATTCATAAATTTCCTAAAAGTTGTAGTCTGATTTTTTTAGCATAGGTACGTGAAATGATAATTCATGTGATTTATTTCTCTTTGGTCACATTAAAATTGATGTATTATGGTTTCTTTTGATGATCATCTAGAAAAATTTCATTTTAATAAGTTTATAAATTTCTAAAGAATTTCCCAAGCGAAAACGTAAATATGATTGATCCTTCTATTGAAAAACTTTAAGGGGACCCCCCTTCCCTTTCCCGATAAAAATTTTTCGATTTTTTGTTTTTTGCGACTGGATATAGATATTAGTGACCTTTATCTACTGACGGCATTTGCAGATCTGAAAACCTACCCTTTATGGGTAAAAAGTCCGGAAAAAAATCGATATTTCACTTGAAAACCCTTAAAAACCCATATTTTCTTGCCGTTTTTCTAAAAGTCAGATTTTTGAGCAAAACCAAGAAGTTTTCCCCCTTTTTCTTCGAAACGGCTAGACCGATCGGACTGAAATTTTTTTTATGATAACTAGGTCAGTTTTGGGGTGCGTGTTTTTTTTTTTACAAGACTATAACTCCTATGAAATTTGACGGCCTTTAGAAAAAATAGCACCATGGAAAGGATCAAGTGTCTCTATTGTTTTGCCTCTCCTAAACTCTAGAAATGATATTTTTTAAAGAAAAAAAAAACGCATCCAAAATCTGACCTAGTTATCATAAAAAAATTTCACCCGATCGGTCTAGCCGTTTCGGAGAAAAAGGAGGAAAACTTCTTGGTTTTGCTCAAAAATCTGATTTTTAGAAAAACGGCAAGAAAAGATGGGTTTTTAAGGGTTTTCAAGGGAAATATCGATTTTTTTTGGACTTTCTATCCATAAAAGGTAGGTTTTCAGATCTGCAAATGCTCTCAGTAGATAATGGCCATTAATATCTATATCTAGTTGCAAAAAACAAAAAATCGAAAAATTTATACCAGGAAGGGGTCCCC